CTCTTTTCCAGATCAGCCCAGCGCGGCAGCTCAGCGGCATCAGGAAACTGGGTGCGCCACGCGTCGTTAAGGCGCGCGAAGCAGCGGTGCGTGGGGTGCGGCCTCCCACACTGCTGGCCGCTGCGGTCACCTGTGCGAATGACGTACGTGCAGGTAAAGCCACGCTGCGCATACCACTCACGGGCGGCCTGAAGCGTCGGGGCGGGCTGCTGACTCGGGCCTCCGCCAGTGCCTCCACGACCACCACCGCCACCACCACCGCCTCGGCCACCTCCACCCCTGCCGCCGCCACGACCACCTCCACCTCCGCTGCCGCCTCCACCCCTGCCACCGCTCCCGCCGCTGCTGTCTCCTCCCCCACTGCCGCCACTAGCCTCCCCAGTCGCGCCTCCACTCCCACCGCCTCCACCCCCACCTCCTCCGCCACCACCCCCACCCCTGCCTCCCTTGCTCCTGCGGCGCCCGCTCGAAGCAGACGCGGTCCCGACCTTCTCAGCACCAAGGAGGTCGACAGCAGCAGCAGAGGCGACAGAGGGGAGGAGGGGGGAAGGGGAACACCCCTCGAAGAACGGGGTGCGGGGGTCGCCACGAGAGGTGCCTACAGCGACGATGCTCGCCTCAGCTGCAAGCAGTTCCTTCTCGAGGAGGGCAACAGTGAGCTCAGTGGGGGAGCGAGAGAGGAAGTGGTCCCTGACTGCGCGCAGAGAGTCAGGGAGGCGGGTGACGATGTGGTAGAGAGTGATCCAGAGCGGGGGGGGTTGCTAGTGAGAAACTCGGCAGGCATAGCAGCGCGAAAGCGGGCCTCACTAGTCTTAAGGTGGGTGATGAGGTCTGCGACAGTGTGAAAGGAGGCTAGGTCGGGGAACAGGTAGGGGAGAGTGAGGCGGCCTAGCGTAGCAGAAGCGGGTGAGGAGTAACGGGCAACTACAGCGGTGTAGAGGTCCTTAGCAGTCTTGCACTGGCCGAAGTGCTCGCGCTCGTCTAGCGGCAGGGAGTTGCGAATAGCAAAGCGAGTGTGCGCATCACGAGTCTACCACTGAGAGCGTAGAGTGCTGTCAGCAGACGTGTCAGGGGCAGTAGCATGGCCTAGGGCGTGGTCGTACAGCGAGATGTCTTCCTTGGCAGTGAGCTGTAGGAACAGGTGCAGGTCATCTAGCCAGGTTTCGAACTTCACCGGACGGCCCTCGGCATCGAAAGCTAGAACGGGAGGACTAGCCATAGTGACAGTAGTAGGAGTAGGAACTAGGCCGCTGGAAAGGTGTGCGTAGGGTCAACGGGACCGGCGGGGCCGCTAGGTAAGGCGCGGGCGGGGTCGACTGTCCGTAGTGGCACACGAGCGGCAGTAGTAGGGAGCGTGGCAGCAGGAGCTGCAACGGCGCACTGGTGGCAGCTGCAGCGGCTGGGAGCGGTGCACAAGTAGCAGCGGCAGCAGCACTCGGGCAGCAGCGGCGTATGTGCACGAGCGGCAGCGACGCACGGGCAGCAGCGGCGCACGGGCAGCGGCGGCGCACGGGCAGCGGTAGCGTAGGGGCAGCGGCGGCGCACGGGCAGCGGCGGCGCACGGGCGGCAGCAGTGCACGTGCGGTGATGCGCAAGCAGCAGCAGAAGCAGCGCACGGGCGGCAGCTGCGTATGCGCACGTGCGGCAGTGGCAGCGGCGCACGGGCGGCTGCGGGCAGCGGGGCGTGCGCGAGCAGGCGACGGGCGGCTGCGGGCGTGCGCGAGCAGGCGACGGGCGGCTGCGGGGCGTGCGCGAGCAGGCGACGGGCGGCTGCGGACGGGCGGCCTCTGCGACGGCGGGCTGCGGGCCTGCGGGGCGTGCGCGAGCAGGCGACGGGCGGCTGCAGCAGCGGGTGCGTCAGCGTGGCGCACAGGGCAGCGGCGGGCAGTGCGCGAGGCCACGAGGCGCACGGGCAGCAGCGCAAAGGCGCGCGGGCAGCGGGGAGGCAGCGTGACGGGCCGCGCGCGAAGAAAATAAAGCGCGCGCGGGCAGCTGGCGGGGCGCACGCGTGAAAACGGCCGCGCGCGAGCGGCTAGTACGGCGCGCGCGGTAAAAAAAAAAAAAAAGGAAAGCCACGCGCGGGCGGCTAGCGAGCTGCGTGCGCGTGGTAGGTAGGTAAGGAGCGCTCTAGGACGCGCAGGCGCACGAGGCGCACAGTAGGTAGGTAGGTAGGTAGGTGGGCCCTAAGAACAGTCCTAGCGACGGACCTGCTCTGAAACCATGTCAGTGATAACGGACTGGAATGATGAACTAGAAAGGATTGTGAGTACAAATATGAAACCCTAATGTTGTGACCCCCCTATAGGCTAACCCACTACAGCCTACACAAACACAACACATATAATGTTTGACAGATAGTCGATGAGTTATTAATTTTTTTGAACGACTTTGAAAAATAAACAAATTGTTCAAAGGGTACCACTTGCCATGAGTGCCGATCCTTGCATTCTTTTCCCATATTGTTTGTTCCAATCAGCACATCTCTGCACGTGGTGCTATGATAATTATGTTATGATAATATCATTACACTTGACCCATTAATCAAAAGAATCAATGCTTTGAATGTCATCACGTCCTGTTGGTGCCTATCCTTCCATTTCTTATCCCTGTTCGCCTATCAAAAAAGCAGATAGTTCGACAACGGTGATGCGAATGGCACCATACTTGTACGACATGATAGAAGCATACTAAATTACCCATTATTTTAGAACAAGCTGCACTGGAAATAACAACATGATGTGAAAATCACCAACTGTCGCACATGCATATCATTGCACAATTTTCATTGCTCAATTGTTTGAAACACCATATCTTTCTATCACGTGCTCCAAATGGCACCAAACATGTCAAGCAATGCTTGTAATATATTGAATGTTTGAATTATCAAGAAAGAATATTGCGTAAAACGACCGACGATTGCCGATACGGCGCCACTACATGATAGGCTTATCCTTGCGCAGTTTTCCATGCTAAATAGTTTGAAACAAAAACACCATCCTTCAAAATGCTGCGAATTGCATAAAATATGTACAGCATGCTTGCAATATATTAAATATGCGAACTATCAGAAGAAACCCTGCAAAACCAAGACAACAACATGAGCAGGACGTCGAGACGGCGACGCGTCTCACTTAGGCCTGTCTCAATTGGTTTGAAACAATACACGTCTCTACCAAGGGGTTTGAATGGCACCAAATTTGTCAATTATGCTTACAATATGGTGATTGCTTAAATTACTGAATGAGGTATCACTTAAAAGAAATTGATGTTGAGACAATATTGTCTTTCACATCAACATAAATGTGCATGCATTTATCTAAATATAGTGGTTGGAGTCCATATTTGGAATCTTAGATAACATGCAGCAATAAATAATGTTTGTAATATGCAAGAACATTGAATAATGTGTAAGTACCTCCGGTATGAACATTTTTGTCGACATTACAAACTTGACAGCAAATACACCCGAGCCAAGAACCAGTTTTATACAGAGTCGAATCAGGTATCGGAAGCAAACAATGCAACAACATTAAGATTCGAGGCGCGAAAGTGACAAATTTCAGTTTGAGCCGCGGCCGGAACGAATGAATAGCCAGGGCTGCGTTCTGCGGGCGCATTAGCCCGCATCAATGTACATTGCAATTTTTTTTCGACGTTCCAGGAGCCTTCTTTGATAACCAGCCCGAAGGTTATCAAGGCTCGCGATAAGCTCGTGGTTGCCGAGGCAAACCATGCCCGAATGCCTGCAGAACGGTCTTTTTGGCAACCACAAATTAAAATGTCGCCGCGTTCCGCGAAATTCATCGTCCTAGCAATCTTTTTTTTCCTTGATGCGCGCATGATGCAACGCCAGAATGACGCATGATGCGCGCATCAGCTCGAATTTGAGCCATTTTTTTTTTTCAATTTTCCGTCGGGCAGCCCAGTTCATGCCCCTGGAGAAGGCGTCAGGTACGTTCTTCCCTGCTTCGACGAACCCAATATATTGAGGTCAAGATTGGGAATGTCTAAATTTCAAATCTCCATTTTCCCGATTTCCCAAACCTCAATTTCAATTTTCCGAGCCTATATTTTACAATTTCAAATTCCTCATTCCCGAACCTCAATTTGTCAATTGGCGGATCAGGCCGAGCCTAGGGCGCATCAGAGCTGATGCGCCCGCAGAACGCAGCCCAGAATTCGCCCTGAAAACCACCTGATTTGCTCCCGCGAAATTTCAGAGGTGAAGCGCGGGCGATTTTCACAGCCTGAAATTTCAGTCGGGGAATTGTGTTTGTTTGTGCCTGAAATTCGGACCCGAACCCCAGCCCACCCAATCCAAGAAAAGCGAGAACTTTGTGATGTCCCGTCGCCCTCGCTCTCTCCACTCCCACCCAATCTATTTCCCCTTCCTATGAAACAGCTGCTAAGCTGTTTTGGCAGAGTAGTAGTAGTAGGAAGAGCTCTTAGGAGAATTTCAGAAAGATAGTAGCAAGATAGCTTTACAAGATCATATGATGGCATATATTTTAGAGATGCATCCTAATATACTAGGATACTAGCATGGGCGCCTCGAGCTGGTCGCTCAGGTCGCCATTATTATTCCTAGAGCTAACAACAGCAAGGCATAGTCACTATGATTATTTACAAGAGATACTAGCCTTGTTGTCATATCCTAGAACCAATAAGCATAGCCTAGGAATTCACTAAACACATGGGCAGAGACTATTTGTCTTGTTGTCGTCCGCACTATAGTAGATAATGATGATCATGAGCACCGTTCGAAGTAGCCATAGCTGTAGGAAGCTATGCTTGCTTGTGCTGTCAATTGCTTTGCTGCGCTGCCGTGTTGTGTCCAGCACTAGTAGTATACTCTCTGGAGTTGTTCCCACGGTTGGAAACACAGAATTACGAGCCGCACAATTCAATGTTGGATTCCAACATTGAATTCCCGAAATGTGCTTAGGGAGTGTTCCGAATTCTGGTTCGGATCACAAGGAGCTGAGTTGGCGAAATCGAGGATGGCGAGATCGCCTTCGTCTTGTTACATCCTAGGCCGTCGCCCTTGCTCTCTCCTCTCCCACGGGATCTGCCCTCCCTTCCCGTCGCCCTCGCTCTCTCCTCTCCCACCCAATCTCTCCTCCTTCCCGTCGCCCTCGCTCTCTCCTCTCCCACCCAATTTCCCCTCCCTTCCCGTCGCCCTCGCAGTCTCCTCTCCCACGCGATCTGCCCTCCCTTCCCGTCGCCCTCGCTCTCTCCTCTCCCACCCAATTTCCCCTTCCTAGGCCGTCGCCCTCGCTCTCTCCTCTCCCACGCGATCTGCCCTCCCTTCCCGTCGCCCTCGCTCTCTCCTCTCCCACCCAATCTCCCCTCCCTTCCCGTCGCCCTCGCTCTCTCTCCTCTCCACCCAATCTCCCCTCCCTTCCCGTCGCCTCGCTCGCTCTCTCCTCTCCCACCCAATCTCCCCTCCCTTCCCGTCGCCCTCGCTCTCTCCTCTCCCACGCGATCTCCCCTCCCTTCCTGTCGCCCTCGCTCTCTCCTCTCCCACGCGATCTCCCCTCCCTTCCCGTCACCCTCGCTCTCTCCTCTCCCACGCGATCTGCCCTCATCGCGGTTTTTTCAAACTCGAAAATTTGGTCGCCGTAGGTTTTTCTACGGAAAACTCCCGGGAAAACCACACAATGCTTCCGGAAAATCACAAGAAAAATGTCACTTTCCCGTGACATTTCACGGGAAACAGAAATGTCACGCAATAGCAACTTCACAGTGACATGAAGTTGTTAGTCGCAAACTGGTTGGGTTCGACATAACGTCGAGAGTGGTTGAAAGTGTTTGAAGGCGGTGCATTAGAGGTGACTCTGATCACCCTCGGCAACCATAGTCCCTGAACAATTGTGAAGAACATGCGAGCATTCGCGAACTAAAACGAGAAAAACAAACCGGGGCTACAGAGGTCGCGAAACTCGCAAACACGAAAGCGAATATAATTTGCTGCCACAACACAAACTGACGTTGGTGTAGCAACCAATCCACGTGTGCCTCTGTAAATCCAACGAACAACGGCGCTCCACGTCATTTCCAGGCACCCCACAGAACCAAAGCGAACCTCACGGCAATTTTATTCGAACCAATCACGGCAGCGCACAAAATCACAATCGACGTACACCAGCCTTTCTTATCCATCCACTCACACATCAGCACAAAGAGCCTCAAACCACTCTCAACCTCTCATCCTCCCCCCACCCCCCCACCCACCCCCACCCTGCCGTACAAATGCTCTGCCTTGTACGTTCTCAGGAGTTAGGCTAGCTTTGTCGTTCAAGTCGTACTCCTCGCTCCTCCCAATGCTCTATCTTCTGAGTTCTAGTCACCCTACAGCGCCCCACGTACCTCTTTCCAAGCGCTCTGTCCTTAGTCTTTCGCAATCTCGCAATCTCCATTATGTTACCTCCACTGTTGCTAGCAACTTCTGAAGCTATCTTGCGCTCCCGGCCCTTACTCTCCCGGTCCTGTGCGGTTTTTTTCCGTATGTAAACCTACTCGCGACAGCATATCTCATTCCGAATCTACCTCCCACGACTTCCGCCCTGCTCTCCCAACCTCCCCTCCCCCCCCCCCCCCCCCCCCCCCCCCCCCCCCCCCTCCGTAGTTAATTTCCGCATGACGAACCGCTGGACGCTTGGCGACGGAAAGCCGCCGCCCGCGCAGTCGCTTTGGACGACATATTTGGTCAGTACCAATTCGCCACGTGTGTTTATGCCTGTCTTGATTCACACCCGGCGGTAAACGTAGATTTGCCACCGTGAATTGCACATGTCGTTCTGCGTCTATCCCCCTCGGCTTATGCCCTTTCCTCCCACCCCTATTCCCCATAGATTTTCAGGGTTAGCGTGGCGTGTGATGGAGTGCCGGAGCTGCGCGAGGTGACATTTGCGTACCCCTCGCTGTCCGACGTAAGTGCGCTCGTGTCTCTCCTTTGTCTGTCTCTCTTGCGCCCTTCGGCTCTCCCTCTTTCCCCTGCTCCTCAGACTGCTCGTTTCCGTTCCCCCTTACCCTTCGTTTCCGCCTCCCGTGTCCCGGGCTCTCACTCCCATCCCTCCCACTCTCTTCCCTCCTTTTTCTCCCCCTCCCCGGCAGGGCTACGAGACGCAGGTGGGGGATCGAGGCAGGCAACTGTAGGGGTGGCAGAAGCAGGGCGTGGCGATCGCGCGGGCGATTCTGCGGAATCCGCGGGTGTTGCTGCTGGACGAGGCGACGTCGGCGTTGGACGCAGAGAGCGCGCTGCAGCCTGCGCTCAATGCGTTCATGGGCGCGCGCAGGAGGGAGGGAGCCTTTGGCGTGAGAGGGAGCGCTGGAGCTGCGGGAGGTGGCCTTTTTTTTCTTCGAGCTGTTTTCGTAATTGCTTTTTTTTTTTTCTATCACGGTCTTTTTCTTCGATCTGTTTTAGCTTTCATCGTCGAAAACTCGTATCGTCTCCGCTTCGCGTGTACGTGCAGTGTGGTGCAGGTGGATGTGCTAGCGCGTTTTATTCTTGGAGTTCACGTTATGTTTTTTGTTTTGTCACGTGTCAGGATCTTTAGCTGTTGTCTTGATTGCAGGTTCCATTAAGTTCGGGGTTTCTTGCTGGTGTCAAGCTCCGTCCGACCCATCTGGTCGGACTAGTTTGAACTAGGCTTTAATCTAGAGCGCAGTTAGCTATGTGTCCATATGGACTCGCCGTGCGGTGTTGTAGATGTACGGGTGTGTTGCTCTGCCGATGTATGTATGTACTATTTTGAATAGTGATGCATTTGAAAAACGCCAATGGACGCCTCGGTTGTGTTGAATTGGACGTACGGAATGCTGTGTTTCGTGTGCGATATGCGGTCGCTATTGAGAGTCGCTAGCCAATCAAATTACATTTTGGCACACACTGGAGTGACAATCGATTGGTCCATTTCAACCAATCACAGACATGGACACCTGGCAAAATATCTGGAAAGATGTAACGCGGTTTGTCCACGTGGCATGGGAACAAAAAAGTGACAAATAGTGACGAGAACATCACTTCACCAGTCACATTTCAGTGACTTTCTGTATGAAATTTTGGGACTCCAACGTGACATTTCCGTGACTTCACTTCTTGGAACTTCTGACCATGAAGATTACGTGACGGAAAATAGTCACGCAATCATCACAAAAAGTCACATTTCTGTGACTTTCCGCCCTTGTCAAATCCGCGATGCTCCCTTCCCGTCGCCCTCGCTCTCTCCTCTCCCACCCAATCTGTCCTCCCTTCCCGTCGCCCTCGTCGTCCTCGCGCTCGCCCCGAAATACCCTCCGGTCGCATTTCGTATTTTATCTCACATTAGGCACCTCAACCCCCTCGCGCTCTCCTCGAAACGCCCTCCCGTCGCCCTTGTTCTCTCCCCTTCCGTCATCCTTCTCGTCACCATCGCGCTCTACCATTTCGCGATTTTGGTCACTCATTTTTTTCCACGCGTCCTCCTTTGTGTCGCCCTATCTCTCTCGTATCTCGTCACCATAAAATTTGTCAAACATTGCATGTTTGTATTATGTAGGCTGTAGTGGGTTACACCTTAGGGGGTACTCAAAGTTAGGGTTTCCTACTTGTACCAAACTCTGTGCTAGTTCATTCCATTCCTGCTCAGTTATTTCTGACATGGTTTCAGAGCAGGTCCTTCGCTAGGACTGTTCTTAGGGCCCACCGACTTACCTACCTGCTTACCTTCACTTGTTTCCGGCCCCGCTGGCCCCGTCGATCTAGCACGATCTAGCGGCCCTGCGGCCCCGTCGAACTTTTTTTTCCTAGCGGCCTCTCACGGCCCCCGTCGCGTCGCCCCTTAGCGCCCCGATCGGCCCCGTCACGCCGCCCGCGAACCGCACAGCGCGCCGCGCTCACAGCCCGCGAACCGCCCACGCACAGCCCGCGAACCGCCTGCGCAGCCCGCGACCAGCCCGCGCAGCCCGCACACAGCCCGCGAACTGCCCGCGAGCAGCCCGCGACCTGCCCGCGAACCCCCGCGAGCCGCCCGCGACCCGCTTACGCAGCCCGCGAGCAGCCCGCGCAGCCCGCGCTGAGCCTGCGCGGCTCGTGCGCTGACCGCCGCCGGCCCGCACGCTGCCCGCACAGCTCACATACGGCCCGCGCGGCCCGCGCACTGCCTGCTACCGGCCCGCCGCTGCTGAGCCCGCAGCCGCCCGCGCACCGCCGCTGCTGCGCCCGCCGCTGCCCGCGTATCACCGCTGCTGAGCCCGCCCCTGCTGCGCCGGCTCTCGCTGCCGCCTGCTGCGCCTGTGCACCACTGCAGATCCTGCTACTACACTTCCTGCTACTGCTGCTTGTGCGCCACTACAGTCCGTAGGCCCCACCGGCCCCGCTGACCCTGCGCACGCCTTTTCAGTGACTTTACTGCTTCTACTACTGCCGCTGTCGCTATGGCTAGTCCTCCTGTTCTAGCTTTCGACGCCGAGGGCCGTCCGGTCAAATTCGAAACCTGGCTAGATGACCTGCACCTTTTCCTACAGCTCACTGCCAAGGAAGATATTACTCTGTACGACCACGCTCTCGGCCATGCGACCGCCCCACTCACTACTGCCCCCCCAGCTGAGCGCTCACAGTGGCAGACCCGTGACGCGCACGCTCGCTTTGCTATTCGCAACTCCCTGCCACTAGATGAGCGCGAGCACTTCGGCCAGTGCAAGACTGCTAAGGACCTCTACACAGCTGTAGTGGCCCGCTACTCCTCACCCGCTTCTGCCACACTAGGCCGCCTCACTCTCCCCTACCTGTTCCCCGACCTAGCCTCCTTTCACACTGTCGCAGACCTCATCACCCACCTTAAGACTAGTGAGGCTCGCTTTCGCGCTGCCATGCCTGACGAGTTCCTCGCTAGCAACCCCCCCCCGCTCTGGATCACTCTCTACCACGTTGTCACCCGCCTCCCTGACTCTCTGCGCCCTGTCAGGGACCAGTTCCTCTCTCGCTCCCCCACTGAACTCACCGTAGACCTCCTCGAGAAGGAACTGCTTGCAGCCGAGGCTAGTATCGTCGCTGTAGGCACCTCTCGTGGCGACCCCCGCGGCCCCTTCTTCGAGGGGTGCTCCCCTTCCCCCCTCCTCCCCTCTGTCGCCTCTGCTGCTGCTGTCGACCTCCTTGGTGCTGAGAAGGTCGGGGCTGCGTCTGCTTCAGGCGGACGACGCAGGGGCAGGAGTGGCAGGAGTGGGGGTGGTGGCGGAGGAGGAGGCGGGGAGGGAGAGTGGAGGTGGTGGTGGCGGTGGAGGTGCGAGTGCTGGAGAGGCTAGTGGCGGCAGTGGTGGAGGTGACAGCGGCGGTGGGAGTGGTGACAGGGGCGGAGGTGGCATCGGAGGCGGAGGTGGTCGTGGCAGCGGCAGGGGTGGAGGTGGCCGGGGCGGAGGCGGCGGGGGTGGTGGTCGTGGAGGCCCGGGGGGCGGTCAGAGTCAGCAGCCTGCCCCGACCCTTCAGGCCGCCCGTGAGTGGTATGCGCGGCGCAGCGTCACCTGCCAGTACGTTATTCGCACAGGTGACCGCACTGGCCAGACGTGTGGGGGGCCGCACCAGACGGAGCGCTGCTTCGCCCGCCTCAACGACGCGTGGCGCACCCAGTTTCCTGGTGGGGGTGAGCTGCCGCGCTGGGCTGAGCTGCTCAGGAAGGGTGTTGATATTTGGGCACTAGACTTTGATGCTATCCTCACTGCCATGTATGCGATGTCTATTAGTGGAGAGGGTGCTCAGTACTTGCGTGTTCCGCCCGACCCGGGCATTCAGGCCAGCCCCGCTGCTGCTCTAGGTGCTAGTGTGTCTGCTCCCACAGGTACTACTGCAGCTGCTGCTCTAGGTGCTTGTGCGTCTGTGCCCCCTGGTACTGAGTTGACTGCAGCACTGCACACCTTCACACTGGACTCAGGTGCTTCTCGCTCTTTCTTTCGTGACCGCACTGTCCTTGAGCCTCTAGCTCGGCCGGTTGCTGTCTCTCTTGCTGACCCCTCTGGGGGTCCGGTCCTTGCGACCTCCTCCACCACCCTTCCGTGTCCAGCGGTTCCGTCCGGCACGCTGTCAGGTCTCTACCTCCCCTCGTTCTCCACGAACTTGGTGGCAGGTAGTGCGCTCCAGGACGGGGGTGTTCACCAGTTCACCCCTGCCTACGAGCGTGTGACTCACTGCACATGTGCTCGGACGGGCCGCCACCTAGCTACTTTCACTCGAGAGCCGGGGTCTGACCTGTACACACTGACCACTGAGTCCCCTCAGGTAGCTGCGTCTGCGTCAGCGTCAGGTCAGCTGTCCGCCCCCTGCTCGTGTCGCTCTCTGGCGAACGACACCGTCCTCTGGCACCACCGCCTTGGTCACCCGTCTGTGCAGCGCCTGCGGGCCATGCACAAACGGGACCTTGTTGCTGGTCTTCCCAGGGTGCTCCCTCCCCTTCCCGACTCCCCTGCTCCTGACTGCATTCCCTGTGTCGAGGGGCGGCAGCGCGCCGCTCCTCACTCCTCCTCCTTTCCCCCGACGACTGCTCCCTTGCAGACGCTCCACATGGACGTGTGGGGCCCAGCCCGCGTCCGTGGTCAGGGTCAGGAGAGGTACTTCCTGATAGTTGTTGACGACTACTCGCGCTACACCACGGTCTTCCCCTTGCGCGCCAAGGGTGACGTCCCTGGTGTTTTGATCCCCTGGATCAGCCGAGCCCGTCTCCAGCTAGCCAAGCGCTTTCACTCGGACTTTCCTGTCCTGCGCTTGCACTCTGACAGGGGTGGTGAGTTCGCCTCCGACCTCTTGGCAGCCTACTGTGCTGACCACGGCATTGAGCAGTCGTTCACGCTTCCGGCCTCTCCACAGCAGAATGGGGTCGCTGAGCGCCGCATTGGCTTGGTCATGGAGGTCGCTCGTACCTCCCTGACCCATGCGGCTGCTCCCCACTTTCTGTGGCCGTTTGCGGTCCGGTACGCAGCGCATCAGCTCAACCTCTGGCCCCGTGTCTCCTTGCCGGAGACTTCCCCGACTCTACGGTGGACGGGAGAGGTTGGCGATGCGTCGCGTTTCCGGGTCTGGGGATCTCGAGCTTTTGTCCGCGACACGTCCGCGGACAAGCTCTCGCGTCGCGCTGTTCCCTGTGTCTTTCTTGGCTTTGTTCCCGACGCGCCTGGATGGCAGTTTTACCACGTCACCTCGCGCCGGGTTCTGGCCTCTCAGGACGTCACTTTTGACGAGTCCGTCCCCTTCTACCGCCTCTTCCCCTACCGCACTGCCCCGCTCCCCCCCCGCCTCTCTTCCTCGCTCCAGGTGCTGAGGTACCAGACCCCCTCCCCCCTCAGGGTGCCGCTCCCTCAGGTGTGTCCCAGGTAGACCCGGGTGAGCCTGTCGAGGTAGCTGTTGACTCGCGTCCTGCGTCTGGGGGTGCTGAGCCTGGGAGTGCTGCGTCTGAGGGTGCGGAGCCTGGGGGTGCTGAGCCTGGAGGTGCGGAGCCTGGGGGTGCTGAGCCTGGAGGTGCGGAGCCTGGAGGTACTGAGCCTGGGGGTGCTGAGTCTGGACGTGCTGAGACTGGGGGTGCTGAGTCTGGGGGTGCTGAGTCTGGGGGTGCTGAGCCTGAGCGTGCTCCACCTGGAGGAGCCCTCTCCTCCCAGCAGCTGCAGGAGAGGTACCTCGAGTACTGC